AATGGCCTTCCTGTTTCTGACATTATTTACAAGTGCTTCAAGAACATGGCTCTGCTAAAGGAGAATTTTGTTTCAAGAGCCATGTTACATTCAGTGAACAGGGAAATTATATGCTCTTTAATCAATTTTGATTCTTCCTCCAGAAGACAGTGAGCATCACCTTTTAAAAAACATACTATGCTGAAAAACCAAAGAAGGGCTTAGTAAACCATCTACAGAAATTCCTGCCAACGCCAGTATAGATCCCAGATTGCTGGGCTGCCAAGGAACTAGAGGTGTCCTGGAGCTGCTCTAGAGATGAGCAGTTCTCTCATGCAGCCATGTCACCTGTTTCAGTACTGAGCTCAGGCTCCTGGGTCTGAGATCATAGATTCACCTAGACTCGTCACTGCCCTCTGTTTCCATTCTCCTGTAGCAAAACCCACAAACTTCCCCAGGGCTGAGGAGCCACGAGGCTAACACAGTGGGACCACAGTTCTTCCTGGAGGCCCACACGAGCTAGTGCAATGCAGATGAAATCAGCAGCAGCGTGCTCAGGGCACCTTGTGCCTGTTCCTCAGGAAAGTCACGTCTGAAATAACATTAGCCAGCTTTCCAATGTTAAGCAAATGTGTTTCTCCTAAGATGTCTCTGGAAGATAAGCCAGGGGATTGAACTGTAAGGTTGTATTTGCTGGGATATAAAAGAAATCAGTTTAATACCTCTTTTGTGTGTGTGATTTTAAAAAGAGGGGAAGGGAATTAGGTTGCCTAGAAGTGGATGTTTCCAACAAATCTATTCTGAGTTCACCTCCTGGATCTATCTCTCTGCTCTTGGTAATCTCTGGGAAACCTGTGTTAGGATCTCATCGGTTTCAATGCGGCTTTCATTGAGTCAAGAAAACACGTAAGTTCTTTAAGCCCCATAACTCTTGGAAAATATAATTGTTGCCTGGACAGTGTCACTGTGACAGAGAGCAGCCACAGCTCCAGACAGACCTCCTGGCACTCGGACGGCTGGTTGTTTGGAGAGGGAAAACAGTCGTAAACAGTCTGTGCAGACTTGGGGCTGCTCAGTGACATGTGTTTGCTTTTGAGAATATGGAGTCAAGCTTTCAATTTCCTGGCAAAGAGGAAAATCTGAGCTCTAATGGGATGACTTAATAACCCTGTCTCTGCATCTGCGAGGGATTTGCTTCCTTTATGTTTCATACCGGTACAGTTTATTTTACTGTGATAGCATTCCCTAGCCAGGTAAAATAATGGGAGCTTTTCTGCCTCCTGTGAGGAATGCTGATTATTTTCAGTATGGTAAAAATGTGCAGAATCCATGACAAGGCTTGGCATGGTGAGGAAGGAAACAAAGTACTTGTAAAAAAAAAAAAGATAAAAATAGCAAGCGCAAAACTATGAGACAGGAAAAGATTAGTGTATTTATTTATACTGTGGGCTGACTGTACAGGTAAACTGGGAATTAACGGTGGGAAGATGAGCTGTAAAGCAGAACTGCTGGGCTCTAAGAGGAAGGATATAGATGCTACCAAGCAAAGTCTTTAAACATGTTCTTAAGCAAAGTGTTTAAGCGTGGGTTTCAGTCAGCATGACGGTGTCATAAATTAGTGTTCTAATAAATATTAGCAGGACTGAAAAAACACAGGAATGTTCCAGCTGTGAAAACAATGTCAAATTCTAACAAACCCTTTGAATGGCTCATATACCTGAGTGAAACCTGTTTTTATTCGTTGTAGGAAAGACCAGCTCACTTCAGGAGTAATAGAGTACTGAAGAAGAGCCAAGAGAAACCGTGCCTAAGGATCTTACTGCTTTTGTATTTGCCAGAGAGCCCTGTAGAGGGACAACTGGAAGAGGAAGAGAACCAATACCCAAGGTGAGAGCTAATTTAAAACATAGAATTTTGTTATGCCTCAGTATTGCCAGTTTTCTTAAAAATGCCTTTCTGCCCATATTTGGTTTCATAATGAAGGATTCATTGCACATTAAAATTCAAGGCTGCTGAGAAATTCTGCAATGTGGATTGTCTCTGAATATGGATTTTCCTATGTGTCACACATGATCCATGAGGCACTGCAGTCATTACATATTTTCCTGGTATTCCCTTTCCACATAGTCATATACTAATAGATGCCTTTGCACTAAATTAAGCTGCTTCAACCAAGAAATAGGAGTCAGCAGCATGTTAATAGCCATTTTTCCACAGATAGTTTATGGACAGCTAGTTTCTGGAACTGAATAAATACCACTGTATGTTGGGGCAGAAACTGTAATAAATTATGATATTGTACACGCAGTCCTATATACATTTTGAGGTCCTTCCCTTGGTAGCCCAGAACTGTTTTGCAGATTGTTTAGAAAACACAGTCTCTCTGTCAAATGCATCCTAAACAGAGTGCAGGAGACAGACCAGAAGTGTGATGTGTGAACAAGGTTTGGTGGCAGTAACTTGGAAATACTGATGGAAGTTGTGAGTGAGATCCCCTGGGCTTAAGGAACGGGAAGTTCAGTATCTGTACACAGAACTGTAACAATTCAGAAAGCAACATCTGTAGTAGCAAAAGTGAGTCCAGGGGTCCCATGGGGTTTCACGCCTCTCTCACAGTTCACGTCGTTTATATGTTAGCATAACAACTCTCACTCTCCCAGACACTGTCTAGTCAGGGTAAAGGGAATAAACCAGAAAAGAAAGCATTCCAGCAGACATTAGGCAGGAGACCACTGTTTTGGAGAGGGGAGAGGGTTTAGCTGCAAGGTGTGGGCCCTGTAGCAGACTAGTCCTCCTTGGATAACTCTAGAAGAGTTAGGATATCCTCCAGGATAACTCTGAAGGAAAGGGACATCCAGAGGTCTCTGGTACAGCCCTCTGCTCAAAGCAGAGCCAGTGATGAGTCAGACCAGGCTGCTCAGGGCTTTTTTCAGTCGAGTCTTGAAAACCTCCAAGGATGGAGCCTGCACAGCCTCACCAGGCATCCTGCTCTACTGCCTCACTGTCCTCATAGCGGAAAAGGAATTTTTGTAACCCTTTGAACATCCGTCCTGTCCTCAGGCGTATCAGCTGTTCCCTCCAGTTTGATGTCACAGGCAAACTTGGTGAGAGTGTGCTCTGTTGCTGCCTTTAAGTCATCAGTAAAGGTGTTAAGCAGGACAGTTCCCAGGGTAGACCATTAGTTTCAGTGCTCTGCTTATAATGGGCACCAGGACAGAGTACCACCCTTTAACTGCTACCCTCTAGGCCTGTTAAACCACTGTTTTTTTACCCATCTAGTTGTCTCTCCATCCAGACCATAACATCCTAATTTGGATACCTGTATGTAGAAAGAGCTTGTATAAAGACCTTGCTAACTCCAGGGGCAAGCTCTCCCCTCCCAGGAGAACATGAGCACATGGGATTTCTACCCTGCTTAGTGGGAGAAATACTTCACCTGCCTTTGAAATTCTGCCTTTTCTGCATGGAAAGACAGTAGCAGCTGAAATGCATAAAGCATTCTTTTCAAAGCATAAGAAATGGAGTGTTGTTACTGTTGGAAATAGCAGGGCAGTAGAGGAGTCTGTGTGCAGCTGGGATGGGAATGCAAGACATCAGTAACCCCAAACATTTACATTAGGATTTGTATTACTCTGAATGCTGATTTGCAAGGCAGAGACAAAGCTGTTCCCAGTTGTCAAGGCGACGAGGGAAGCAGAACTGTGAACAATAAAGGAGGTCAGAGATGTCTGTTGTCTTTGAAAATACACACAGTATTAGAGGAGTGAGAGAGATTGGAAGAACTGCTTAGAAGTTAAGAGTTCTCAGAGAGAAGAGCCTTGGCACGTATGTAAATAAACCACCAGGCAGAGAACATCTGTAGGCAGTGTGGGCTGGAAAGGGGGCACGAGAATATTCTAAGACTTTGTTATAGAGTTTCTGTCATTTGAACTATTAAAAAAACCCACCAAAACCCACTTCTTTTCCTCCTGGCTGCAAGGAGCCTGAAGGGTGCAAAGCAAGGCACTGCTGTTTTGTTTGGCCAGTAGCCAGCTGGACAAGTAGCACCAGTGGGCATGTAAACAGTTTGTATGTATCTCAGTGGGAAGTTCACTTCAAAGCTGTGTTCTGGAAATAAAGATTCAACCACAGATTTTTTCTCCCTATTTACTTATTTTATCTGTCTTTTTTTTTTTTTTTTTTGAAGTGTAGGCAGGTTATTTTTTGTGTCAGTGAGAATAGCTGGATTAATAGCCCTGGAGCATAAAGCCATGAGTTCTGTTACACACAACGGGCACAAGCAATATGAACTTTCTCTACACAGTCTGCTACTGTGCTTCTGTCTCAATATAGAGAAACCACACCTGGGGACACAGGGAAGCTCGGGATGTGTAGCTTATTTTTCCATAGCCTCTGTGAGGTTGCCAGCACCAGTTGTGATACTGTGTTGAGGTGAGGCCACCTTTTTTTTAGGTTTGGACTATGATCAGTAGCTCATTTTGACTTTGGTCTTCAAACAGCCTTGAGAGAGGGAGCAAGTTGTATGCACTACAAATACAAAAATCCCAAGTTGTCAGCCAGAGGATACTTTTTCTGAGTTAACTCAGAAAAAGTACTGTTACTCTGAGTAAGCTCAGTCCTGTAAGTCATTGTGGCACAATTGCAGAGTTCAGAGGCACTCTTACTCCTGTAAATGTGCTGGATTTGTAGTGGGAGCTGTATCACCACCTTGGAAATGCCGTTCCGCTTTGGAGACTTCTGTCACAGTTTCCAGCATAGCTGGGCTGCTGCTGGTACCCAGATGTGTTCATTTAGGGCTAGCTGCTTCCTTGCGCTGTTCAGCGCAGCTGTGCCCTCATGCTTTTCCCTTAGCCGTGGATCCTCAAGAATCCTGTTACCAGACTGGAAACAACTTGCTTAGCCCTATAAAAGACAGTTAACTTTTTCTCAGACAAAGTTTCTGACAGGCCGAGTGGCCGAAGATGTTTCCAGGGGCTGCTGGGGAAAAGAGGCTGACAGGTTAGGTTTCTGCCTGAACTCACCAGCATGAGTACGGGCATCTCCGGCTGTAGCGGCAGCAGTAAAATTGCCATTCACGGTCAAGCACAGATGGAAAATACTGACTCTGGAAACCAGCCACCAGCCCATTGTTTGAGCAAGTTTGATACCTAAGAAAGAGGAGAAAGAAAAGAACATGTAAGGAAAACATGATATGAGATTCCCCGATAGTTTCAAGCATTTTTGAAAGCAGCATTGAGAATTTTGATTCAGGGTGGAAGCTAAGGGTTTGGCTTTGTATTGAGAAGCGCTGTATGCACTTGCTGTGTACCGAGTATAAGAAAGCAGCAATAGTTAACTAATAATGTCTTAATGTTTCTGTGGCTCTTAAAACTATTTAAACTGGTTTAGAGTATTTAACCATTCCATTATACTAATCAGGCGAAGATTGTTTTGGTGTTGACATTCTCAACTGTTTACAGATCATGAGACTGACCACAAAACAGTCCATTAATACTTTTACGTTTGACTGTTGGTATTTTTGCCTTTGAGGTTCACTGGAGGAATTTTTTCAACTGCTTCTCTACAAAAAAAGGAGCCCTAGAACCTCTTTTATAAAAGTAGTTCAGCAATTTCTTTCTCAGTGAACCCTCTCCAGGAGAAGGCATTCTTAATTCAAAACATTACAGCCTTGTGATGAAATCATGGTTTTATAACAATCACAGGGGGAAAACTGAGATGTTATGAAATTATAAAACATAAATTTTAGGCCTGGATTTTCAAAAGAAAAATCTGCTACTTCATGCTTTCTGCATACTCGGGAATCCTCTCATACCTGTAGGTCACTGCCTTCAGGTAGAACAGACGTGCTCTCTGAGCATGTAGATATATTCTTCTCTTTCTGCACACCCTACAGGTATCTGGACACTGATACCCATAGTCATTCATGTGATAACCATTTTGAATAGCTCAGCTTCTTGGAGACCAAAGACAAGGAGGGTGTGAAAACAGACAGCTCTAACTCAGCTGTTGGGTGCTCATTCTCCCAAGCACCCTTCTAGCCTTATTGTTTCCCTGTTGGAGAAAATTACAGGAATTCATTACAGTAATTTCATCTTCCTTCATCAAGGAAAATGGGTGACCTAAAGCTGTAGAAAACCTTCCTTGCCATACCATAAAATCAAATACATTGATATATCCAAGAATCTTTCAGAAGTAACTTTATGATTAACACATACCAAAAATTTCCCCTAGTTTCATTCAAACACCTCACTTTTTCTTTTAATGAACCTGGAGTTCTCAGAAGGGAATACACATCGTCTAGCAGTTTGGTGTTTGGAAAGTCATTCACTGCTTCGTACAGGTGTTAGTGCTCCCAAAGCATGAGCCTCAAGTGTCTGTATGCAAAAGCTGAAAAACGGACCAATTTTGACCCGTGCAGGGACGAATATCTCTGCCTAACTTCCCGCTTCCTCCTTTGAAGCAGCGGTCTCTTCTGCGTGTCCCTTCCACTGCATTCTGTTGTTCAGACAAGAGTATTTACGTTTGTTTGCATCCCCGCGTCTCCCACGTCGCTGGGGCCACACGTACTTGCTGCGCTTTGTGAGACTTTTCCGAGGACCTTCGGAGTTAAGCAGTGATGGGGACTCTGAGTTGCTATGGTATCACACCAAGTAAGGCAGTCTGGCTCGCACTCAGACGATTT